AGTAATGAATAAAAGACCCAATTAATGCCCAAGCGAAGGAAAAGCTGGGACAGCTTAGCCTGTAAACGTCCTGCTTGCCGTCCTATCGGCACATGTATACCAACTACCCAGTCAAAACAGATGGAGATTTAAATTACCCACAGTTAAGACTCCTGGCAGTTAGCCAGGCATAGTATGAAGGATGCTGAAAGAGGACAAGGCTCGGTGCAAAGGGAGGAAGAGAAACTTAAAACAGAAGGCACAAATCTATAAAAAGCAGGCTTGACAGCTTCTGCTGCCTACGTAACAACCTGTTCCTTTTTATTTTTAAAGGAATTTAACCTAGTAAGTCTAAAGTTTGACAGCAGCACTTGCCAATTCGCCATCTGACGCAAACTCCGCTGTATGCAACTACGCACAAGGGAACGTGGGGATGTTATTTTTCCGTAAGATCAGTCTGTTAACAGGCAGTAACCTAATGGATTAGGCTATCCCACATTTAACCACTAGAGGGCTTTATTCGATTGCAAAAAAGTTTTTTCCAATTCCGTGTTCGGCACCTTTGAAAAAACATCCAAACTCAGACAACGTGAGCACTCTTTTTAAATGCAATCCATAAAAACTAAGCTCTCTAAGCAGTTGAAGCAAAGGGGAGTAATTTGTAGGATTAAAGACACTACTATGGATGCCCAGCTGTTTCAGGATAAATTAAAAAATCTGAGCCTGTTTCACAAACAGCTACTGGACATGGACCAGCTACATTTCTAGGCTGAAATGTTTTACCAACATATACCTAGTTCCTGGGTGAGCATGCATGCTGAACAGCACAGACCTGAAGAGCTGAACAGCACCTAAGGTTTGCTTTTAATGAAGCCAACAGAATTAAGTTACCTGTAAGCTAGCAAAAGCACATTAGAGGAAAAGAAAACAAGGGATAAATTAGCACAGAAAAAGGAACGGTAACATAGGACCTTACACTGTGAAGCAGAACTTTGTCTAAGTTGTCTCAGGTTGCTTGCCTAATATCTTTCTACACTGCATAGGTATCGTGGTTCTTCACAATGTTTTCCTCACGTTCCCCCATACATGGATCTTTTAGTCAGAGAAAGACTTCTACATTTCCTCCTCCAATACAGTTTCCAAAGAACACAAGTCACAAAATCATAAGGACTGTCACAGAGAACCCAAATTACTCAAAAAGATCATGATGGGGTTTTTTTTTTGTTGTTTTTTTTTTTTTTTGGGGGGGGGGGGTTGCTGCTGGTGTGTGATTGGTTTTGGGTTTTTTTTTTTCTTTTGTTTGTTTTTAATAGTATTTGTTCATGTATTATCTTCTCACTAAGAACCATATTAACTGTCTCAGATACCATACCTATGGTATCTGTAATTAATTATCTGGAATGCTTTCTGGAATTAATATTTTTTGTGAAGTCATGGAAAAAACTTAATAAAAATTGATTTTCAGAGACATGGACATTTTTCAGACTAGTAGAGTAACAAATTATTGTACAGTAAGCTCTGAAATGTATGCATCTCCTTTAGCTATCTCAGTGGATATTTATTGGGTTCAGTAGTAGTCTTAAGAAACCAGGTGTAAGTAACCTTAACCTTTGGAAGCCTCAAAACAATCTTCTGAATATTCCACTGCTCCAACCTGTTTGGCTAGCTACAGTGGTGTAGAAAAAGTTTTTTTTTTTTAAAAAAAAAAAGCTTTCTACTGGCCATTCTGATACTCAGGTACAGATTAACATGCCACCACCCCTTATCCCCCCTTAAAAAATCTCATCTAATGGTTTCTCTTCTAGCCTAGGGACTCCAATACTGCCTCATTCCGGTTCTCCACATAAAGGATTAAAGTTACTCATTCACTCCAGGATTATTTAAGGTGGTATTTTTTAGGTCATGTTACTCAGGAGAGCAGATTATATCTATCTGTTAGTACCTCAAGACTTAAGTTCATTTAAGATATCCTCAACAGCCTGGGTGTACCCTTGAAAAGCTCTGCCACTTTCTTTGTGCAAAATTTAAATACACCCTGAGGTTAAGAATAGCATGAATAGAAGCCAATTCACTGATCACCTAATTCCCTGTATAGCCATTCCAGTTGTCCTGGTTTCAGCTGGGATGGAGTTAATTTTCTTCCTAGCAGCTGGCATAATGGTGTGTTTTGGATTTAGTAGGAGAATAATGTTGATAACACACTGATGTTTTAGTTGTTGTTAAGTACTGCTTATGCTAGTCAAGGACTTTTCAGCTTCCCATGCTCTGCCAGGTGCACAAGAAACTGGGAGGGGGCACAGCCAGGACACTGACCCAAACTGGCCCAAGGGCTCTTCCATACCATACAGTGTCATGCTCAGTATAGAAACTGGGGGAGTTGGCTGGGGAGCAGCGATCGCTGCTCAGGGACTGGCTGGGTATCGGTCGGCGGGTGGTGAGCAATTGCATTGTGCATCACTTGCTTTGTATATTTTTATTATTACTACTACTATTTTACTTTATTTCAATTATTGAACTGTTCTCATCTCAACCCAGGAGTGTTTCTCACTCTTATTCTCCCGATTCTCTCCCCCATCCCCCAGGGCAGGGGGAGTAAGCGAGCAGCTGCATGGTGCTGAGCTGCTGGTTGGGGCTAAACCACACCACCAGTATAACACCACCAAATTAGACAGCTTGAGTATTACTACTCACTGCAGCAAGTGTGTAAGCAGCCCAAGCACCTGGTGTCTCCTGATAACATGCAAACTGTGACATATCTGAGTGTCAACTACTAACCTGCACTTCAAGCTTATGAAGATAGAACCAAGTTGACACAAAATACCAGTTTCCAGGTATGCAATATGTAGTTTTCTACAGAAATCTTGCCTTACTCGTTTCACACTGGGTAGAAACACATCATTTAACATTAATACTTTATTCTAGACTGACATTCAGCTGCATGAACTATTTGTATCTTAAGACATGAATGGTTTTGTTCTTGGCCTCCTGTTACTAACTTTTAAAACATTCAGAAGTAACACACATTCTCAAAAAAACCACTCTTATGAAAACAGTTTGGTACCATCAGTTACTAATGGTCAAGTGGCACAGAGACAGAACTGCATTAAGCTTTAAGTGGCTGACTCAAATTTGATGCATTAGCCATTAAAAAACCTAAGAGTAAGTAGCCATGACTTGAAATAGGGTTCCCAAGTAGCTTCATATGCTATTGTCTGTCAGGCCTGTCATCAAAAGTTAAAACCAAGACAGTCAGAACAGTTACTGTACTACCTGGGAAGTGTAGTTTAAAACCCTTTTAGCTGCCATGTAGAAACCGTAAATAAAGGCATCAAATGATTCTAGTTAGACATGGAAGAATTTGGCTTGGCCTTAAGACAACTTTTATTGAAGGGGATATAGGAAAAAAGTTCCAAAGCAATTGTGGCTCAAGCTGCAATTAGGTATTACACAATAAACGCTTCAAAACAACCAGGAACAGTGTGGCCAGAAAATGGGCCATGAGAAAAGCAATCTGGGAGGGCAAAGAGGGCTTACTCCAGGTAGTAAGCAAGACTAACTATCACTTTGCTGCCTTCTCTGGAAAAAATACATGCTAGGAAGGCTCTCTCCTTAACACCAGAGCATAGCTCCAGCCTTATCCCTATGCCACTGCTCCCTCTTGGAAGTTTCACCATCAGATCAAGCTACCAGATGTTAAGAGTGCCCAACAAATTACATAGCTAGTAATACTGCTTACAGCTAGGATAATCACTTGAGTTGAAAAGCTTAAGTGTCTGCATTGAGCCTGACAGCGTTGTAACACCAACACCTGGAAATTCCATTTTAGAGACAAAACCAGGTGAGGTGACTTTAACAAAAAGTCCTGTATAGTGAACAAGATTGAAGTGTCCACCTAGCACTTCTAGCAGTTTTTCTAGAGAACAGAACTTGGTAACAGCTAATGGACATCTACTGAACTAACCTGCTTCTAAGGAGTCTGCAAAAGGTCAACAACAGGCTTACCCATCATAACTAAGTCTTAAATTCACCCCAGTGGCCTGCACACAAACAAATCATTTTTAAGGTCTCCCTCAAAGTCAGAGGATGGTGCTAACACGCACATATCCTAGCCTAGTATCAATATCAGTCTCGGATACATGGCTTGCAGTATTTTTCTGCATTTTGTTATCCACAGAACATCACTGGTAGGAAATGAAGAGTCATAAGTAAATCCAATTCCATTTATTTTCCAGCAACATCCCATACAAAAGTAATGGAAACATTAGCTGCTTTCAGCAGAAAATCTGTACAGTGTTATCATTTACAACAGTTTTACATTTAAAAATCAGCAAATTAAAAAGAATCAAGCACTTTACCTACACATTGTTTTATTGACTGTATTAACAAGTGACTCATGACTATTTACAAATTTCAAATTCAGGCTACTGCTTCTTAAAGGATTATTACCTTGGGCTTTACCATACAGACCTCGAATTTTTTGAGAGTATTTAATTTCCAATCAGAAACGTTTTTGCAAGTAAAAAAGTATCTGCTGGGTTTTTTTTAAAAAAAGTTAAGGCAGTTTAATCTTACAGTAAGTAACTGCAGTAGATGAGTTTACTAGTACTAATCAGCAGCGAGGTTCAGCTACCAACTGTATTACTTCAAGTCAGATCCTTGTAGTAAAGTCAGATGGTAAAGCAAGGTAACATACCGATGCTCAAAAATATCTCCCTACTTTGTTCTTGATCTGCAGGCGGACAACTGAAATTATGGACAGAGTGAGGGAAAAATAAAATCAATAAGATCTTTGCTGAACTATTTATAATTACTTGAGGACAGTATTGCCTTTGGCTATTTTTTCTATTAAAAGGTCTTATAAAAAAAATCTGATATACATAAATTAAAAGTTAAGAAGTCACACAACTGTATTTTTACATAACTTTGGTCCAGAGAATACGTAGACCAACCACAACTGGGAGAACAGCCTTCAACTTTGCTTAAGCTTTCTTACTATTAACAGTTTATGAATTAAGCTAATCTCTCAAATTTAAAAGAAAGTTCCTCTAAAACAGTTTGCACGAGACTATTTAACTCACAGTATCAAAATCTTTAAGTGGTTCACTCAAACACACTTCCAAGTCGAATTCACCTTCTGCTTGATAGTCAACATGTCTGACTTTGGTGGGAGTGCCAGAACAGGTATCCTGGAATACAAAGTCAGTTAATAATTAGCAGTTAAATACAAGTTTAGTTATGCAAGAATTCATTTAACTTCTGTAATTTGTTTCAACCACCCTGTAACAGAGGCTTACAAACATTTTACAGGCACAAAAAATGAAGGCTTCTGCCCATTCAACCACATTCTAGAATTTCCTGCAAATGTTTTAAGGATCTATATACGCATACATTAAAACATTATACAGATTCAATATTCACCAGAGAAACAAATCCAGTAAGAAAAATATTACTAGATCTTTACTGAAGGTTACTGCTCAGCTGTACTAAATGCTTTCTGGATATAAACAGAGCCTACTTCAAAAAGTCTGAGCGTGCCAAGAAAATTACATCCTGTTTTAACATTAGATATTGCAATCTAAAGTAGTATTTGCACTATACATCACAGTTCATAACTGACATGCTTTGAACAGATAAATTTTCTTTTGCAGGCTATGAAAAGCGAGATATCTGTCATTTGAGATGGTCACTTAAGTTCTAACTCTCTAAACTCAAGCTACAGACAGATACTGGCTATAGCTGGGGAAGTGTCTGAATTTAAAGATCACTCAGCTTTATAAACAGTCCCTAAACACGGCAGATTATGCAATTTCTCATGTATTCAGGCTACTCTGGATCTAATTCCAAGTAACAGACCAATTATTAACAAATATTTATGCAAAATAACAGATATGCTTACATCATTATCTTGACAGCTTGTCTGAGATTCAGTAGAATTGCTTCCAACAGATTCTGTCTCCATCTCACCAAGGTCAACAGGACTACTGTAAAATAATTAAAAAACATACAGCTTAAAAAAAATTCAGTTTTTTAGTACTAAGTTGCACTTTGTTGGTGCAGTTCTGAAAATGATGGCTAAAGAAGAACAAGACGACCTGCAGAGATTATCGGGACAGTGGTAGCAAACTGCAGAGCCCGAAGAGAATAGCAGGTCAACTCAATACAGCCAAAATGGCCAAGGACTAAATTAAAGTCTTGAGATTGAATACTGCAACTTGTCAAAGACAAATACCCAACACTCAAACAATGCCTCAATACAAATGATGACAAATGTTATGGAAGAGCAAGGAATTTCTCTTTTTTCCCCAGACAAGGTTTTCATCAATTGGTTTTGCAACATAAAATTTAGTATCCAGTGTACACAGAACTAGACCCCAGCACCTGAAGACAGACTAGTATTTCAACACCAACGTATACAGTAGGCTTCAGGACGAAATAACAACTCCTCTCACATCAATTACAAGTAAAAGGAAGCTAAAAGTAAGCCTTTGCTTTTAGCTCCCATTGCTCCGTATTGGTTTAAAATCAGCAGCACTGTTAGGGAAAAACAGTAGTTTACTACCACAAAACTGTTTCCTGAGGAATTAGTTACATCTGTGTCCCCTTCATTCTATAGACCCAGTTTTATTCTGGATGTTTCCTGGTCGGCTGTATTGCTCTCTATAAAGGAAAATAACTAGTTGCATTATTCTACATCTGCTAGAGCAGAATACCACAGGAGCTTGGACCTTGAACACTTGTGGCCATGCTTTTAATTTAATGGTACCAAGACTTCTCTCCTCCGCTCTGCTCAAGAAACAAGAATTTATACCACTGTTCTTGAACTAGCAAGCGAGAAGGCTATGAGGCAGGTTCTCATACACTGTATTGGTCCAAGCTCAGCATTCATGAGAGCTATTAATTAGCGAGAACTCTCCAGCACTGCTTCTACCACAGATTAATCTGCAGACTGCTCTGAAAGAATCAGCTTGCCTCGATGGTGTGGTATTTTCTTTTATAGAGCACTGCAGAACAAGCTCTGATTTCACCCAGTGGACATACATTAAAAAAGCAAGGGATATATATGTATGCCCATGCAAGGACACTGGGTAAGTCTACTCCCACCAACTAGGTGCAGAAAGCTATTAGATATTTTGACTGAGAAGGAACTGAATAGCACTAAGTGTGGACAAGTAACTAATTAAAACATTCAGCAATCACTGACTTGTCTCACAAAGGGCTATGCTGGGCTTGCTTTTTTTTTTAAAACATGAGATTTTATACATTAATTTCTATAAAGGTATCTTGAATACCGTATACATACATTTCCTGCAGATCACATCCTTCTTCAGTAGGTGGATCCCAGGAATGCAATGCAACTTTCCATAGTTTAATTTGCTGGTCCCATGACCTACGGCTGTACTTCTTAAATTTATTGGGAGTTCTGGGATGAACTCCTGGTACACGATGGCATCTATTCAGATATTAGACATGAAAAATTCATTACTGTTTTTCACACAGACATAAAGTAGTTTTTAATGTTAAGACTGATTGCCTGCTACACACGCTCATTACAATGCAGCAAATTCTAAGTGATTCCATTATTTGAGAAAATACTCAACTCCAGCACTCAAGTGAAGAGTTGTCATCTCCATATGAATGTTTTCGTTTTTCTGTCTTCAAGTCAAATGAAAAAAAAAAAAAATTATGAATCATAGGTCTGAAAACTTCAGCATGAAATTTCCGAATGTAACATATTCCAAACTTAAGGGCAACTGTAGTCCGTTTTGTCTTTTAGCTTATTAATGAGAAAATTGACTGCAAAAAGCAGTTTCATTTCTAGTTGACAAGCACAACCAAAAGAACTTTCACTTCCATTTCTGCAGCATGAGAGAGTTTGAAGGAACATTCCTCATGTACTGACTAGTAAAAAAAAAAATCCACATCTCATTTGATTGTTAGTGCCACTTATCTGTTAAAAAATGTCTTAGAAGGTTTAATTTGTAGATGCCTTCTATGTGAGTGTGTTTCAGATACCAAGTTTAGTACGTTAATATGCTTATAAAGAACAGGTATGGCTTACAATCAAATATTTAGTTTTCCAGAAATAACAGCAGCTTACCTAGGAACTTCTTTAATGTATCTATCATATGCAATTGTGTTTTTTCCATAGTTTATCTGTTTTTGTCTTCTCATCAAAACCACTTCATCCGTCTCAAGTTCTACAGTCACAGTGGACTCCTTTGAATCAGAACTAAAGAAAAAAACATTGTAAATTTGTGACTACTAGAAAACAAGACTCAAAACCAAACCCACATGTAGAAGATTATAAAGAAACATGCTAAAACTTTTGAAATGAATGCTTGGGATGTTACTGAACTATGACATTAGAGCAGACTTAAGATGAACTATTTTGAACTGCGCGTTTCAGAAGCAACAATGGTATATGTGAAAATCAGGTCAGGATTTTCCTCAGCTAAGCTAGAAATTTAACCTACCTTCCAGAGGAAGACTTCCTTTCTCTTGAAAATTCATTTATCAGGAGTTTTCTTCTGTATCTGTAAGAGTTCAAATCAGTATTAGGAATATACAAACATGAAGGGAACACATAAGGCTGTGCTGCCACCGCTCACAGTTGATTTTACTTCTCAGCTAAGCAGCAGTCTTGAAGTCAACCCAAACACTGTAAAAGCTTTCCACTATGGAATGAACATTTCATTTTCCCCTAAAAAAAAAAAAAAAAAAAGAATCTGCGGACTTCCTTTTCCTAAGTCTTTTCCCTAAAAATCTTTTTATAGCATTGATATACAAAACCAGGAATTAGTGAAAGGACATTCAAAGTAATTTAATCTAAGAGATTCAGGAAAGGTTTCTTCCAAAAGGGAGGTATTTAGTGATACACATCAACTCTCCAGGGTATGCTATGTCATTCCTCCAGGACTTAAGCCAAAGCTGACCTAAAAGCAGCAGACAAGAAACTAAGGTTGGTCTACTTTTACTACAATGGTGAAGTTAAAAATAAAAGTCAATACAGATTCTACAAGACAACTACCATTTCCCCTCCTTTCCCTGCATCATCTTAAACACCCGTGGGTACCTTGCAATTTCTTTGTTAACACTGGTCCTCATTTCATCTTCTTCCACTGCAGTTCCCCAATCTGAACACCGGGAAAGGGATCCAGGGCCTTCTGGTGTTGTAAAACTAAAAAGAAAGAAAGAAAGAAAAAAAAAAAAAAGAAAAAAAAAGAAAAAAGCCTCTACATTAAAATTTTCTTTTATTGTATTTCCCACCCCCAGCATCTCCCCCATTCACAGCTTGATAGCTATTTAATATATTCATTTATAATATTCACAGTGAGTGTGAAAATTTTGTATTGTTCTATTAAAATGTCATCATTGTAAAATTAAGCATCAGTTGAGAGTTCCACCTTGAGGTTGTGCGGTCTGGTTTTTTTTTTTTTTTTTTTTTTCTTTTTCTTAAGAAGTTTATGTAGGTGTCTACAGAAACATACCACTGTAGCATGTAACCTAGCCTACACTTTCAATAACTTTAAGCTAGTGCCCTTCAGAAAACAGTATGTGAAATACCAACTTCACTCATTTACTCACTTATTTTCACTCCACTAAGTGAGTTAACAAATATTTATTCTTTCGTGATTGCAGACTCATTAGCTGTATGAGACAAACGTTAGAACACAGTATACAATTGTACAGCTAAAGTTACATGACAGCACCAGGAGTTTCTCCATGTGACAATGTACCTAGTAGAGAAGGCAAAGGCACAAAAAAAGTAGTCAATTTTTAGCTAGCAAACTGAGCTTTAGCTACGACTTTGCAAACTGGTATTTAACAACTTTATTGTAGCCCATTAGCACCACAAGCAGATTCAGACTGTTGCAGGGAATAAGCTTATAACCCTTCCCAGCCAAGAATAGTTGTCTATATTCAGATTATTGAGTATGTTTTCCAGTTTCTGTCCTCCTGATGACCAATTTTCCCGAAGTACAAACTCAAAACTGTATCCTACAGACCAGAGCTTTTTCAGTAGATCTGGAGACTTACCAGGATTCTGTGCAAAGAAGTCCCTTGAAGTCAGGGAATTAGATCCATCTGTGCTAAAACCAGATCCAACTCCCTCCCTGCTCCCAGCTCAGAGATCAGCTTGCATTACTTTGAAGTTTTTGTTAAATTCAAACTAAAAGTTCTTTTTAGATGAAACCCAGTTACCAACTCAGAAAAATTAAAAATCCATAGCAAACAGTAAAGGTCCCTCTGCAAATATCTGTCCAACCTCCGAGGATTTGCAGCATTTGCTTATATTGATTTCTAACTTTGCACAAAATGCAGGCCACGTTCAATTATTGCTCTCCCGTGGTAGAGAACAGCGCAATCCCAGAAGCCAGTTAGTCCCATCATCTGAACTTTTTCCTCAACACTGGGTCACACCTTTTTGTACTTGTTTGATTTGGTACCTGTGCTGTGCATACAGAGAATTAGGGAGAATGTGGGAGGGTCTACAGCTTTTTCTCTCAATTAATTTGCTCTGTGACAGTACTGGTGCCAGACATACTAAGCTTAGCTGTCTGTCTTCAGATCCTCATGCCCACATGCTGTTTCACACTTGGTAAGAAGCCCCGGTGCTGCAACAGGACTGCAAACGGTGCTCAAACTCTGCCAGAGGTGCAGAAAAAATAAGGCTGTAGCCCCCTCCCTAGACTGAATCCATTGTGTGACCTGGCCTCCATCCCAATCTTCTTCCCATTTTAAGCACGAAGAGAACAACTTCAATCAGAGCTGAATCCAAACTAAACCTGAGAGTATGCCTGTTCAATTCAATACTGGAAGACACACAAAAGCATTGTTTGTTTAGGTTGAAACTGATGAAGCAGTCTGTAAAGTTTCATCTTTGTACCCCTATTCAAACACACTTCCTGAAATAAATTTAACTTACTCTGGATATTGTAATTTGAGCCACTGACTAATGTCTTCCCTGCTTATTATCAGCAAAGAAAAACGGGTAGTTGCAGGGCACCACCCACCTCATTCTAGACTAGAAACCTAGATTCAATCAACTGGGCTGCAGGCCACAACTCCCACCCACTGATAAAAGGGACTAAAGGGACTGTGGCATGAATAGCTCAGATGTACATAGTGATATAAAATAAGATACTTTCACTAAACTGAAGTTTACCTGTACTGGGAAATGGTAAGGAAGGCAGCGAGCAGCAGTATGAACAGAGCGAGTGCCCTCAGACACGTGCTGACACAACTTTTCAAGACGATCTGTACTGCCTTCAGAAATATGAAGACAGATGGCTTTTTTTATTTTACCACAACGGTACGTGCAGCCTGTACCCACAGACAAACATGATGGGCTTGTGCAGTTATTGCTTCATGATAAATGGCAGTAAGGAAGCAGGAAACAGACAGAAAAATGATGAAGAATGTAATTCAAGCCATAAGAGGGGAAAAAAGTTTATTCTTAAGAAGTGACTCCGAGAGAAAAACACCGCACTTGATTCTTTTCCCTCCTTTAGGACCATTTGTTTGTGGTCCACGAGCGATTTATAAATAGGCAGGGCTTGAGAAACCGAGTGCAGCAGTTCAACAGC